TTCCATTGACCAAATTAACATATCTCGTTGACAAGATTACAAATTTTGTTAGTTTTTTTTAATAGTTAGTTGTATATGATATGATCAAATTGAAAATAAAAGAACTATGCTACATGAATATAGAGGATGACATAGATAATGACCGAACACACACACACAAACACCTCGGGGGTCAAACATTATTTTATTCACGTGGGGCTCACGAGCCATGTAAGGGTCGGTCACCCGAGGTGTCAACAATTTTCGGGTAGGTGACTTTACTCTTTCCCCAATTGATGGATGCTCGATCAGAAAAGCATAGGATGCCGTGAATCTGTGGCTGCTATTTCCAATTTGCAGATGGCAGTTTCCAACTTGTAAATGTAGTTATGTTAGGTGAGGTTTTTCATGTGCAAGTTGACCATTACAGAAAAAAGGGTTAAATACTTTGCCCATGTTTGATGGCGATTGTTTGAAAAACACGATATTTTGAATAGCAATTTTTAAGCGAATGAGTGGTTAAAAAATTGAATTTTTTTTTTAATTTAGGTGTAAAATATTTTATAGTGTGAATGTATGGTTGAAAGTGAGTATGTATCAATAAACATGGGCTTAGTCAACAATTTTCATAGCGTGTCACTTTAATTATCAAATATATATATATAATTATCAAATGTGTTATGGCGACTATCAAATATGTGATCAATGACTTAATTCACACAACTTTGTAAGTTCGGTGATTGAAACAACACATTTTAAAAGTTTGGTCACCAATAAATATTTTGGACATACTCAACAAAGTTTTTAATTGGAAAAAAATATTGGAAGACTATTTCACAATAATGCAAACAATATTTTCTACTCAATAAATTAATTTTAATTACACATTACATTGGACTCACAATTTTTCAACCATACATTTCATTTAAATTTATGAAAATCTATAGAAAAAAAATTTGATTTTAATCAAGCAAATGAATTTTTAACCTTTTTTTAATATTCGTAGTTAGTCACATGAAAATTATTGAAAACTCGATATTCCTAATAAATCATGTGACCCTTATATCCCCTTGCATGTTCAACTCTAGAAAATTAAATTTTGCCTTTTCAACTTGTAAAGAGGTTAATGGCCATGGAAATTTGAAGCTGAGTTATGTTTCATGAAAATAATGTGGCTATTTACTACCAATTTGGAATTGTGAAAGATTTTTTTTCAGTAATAACGAAGAGAGATACTACACGTACATGGCTCATTCACAAATTTTTTTACAAGCAACTTGTGAATGATTTTGACAAATTTTGATTGATTGTTCACCAAAAAAAAAAAGGCAGTCATACAAGTGCTGCCGGTGCTGTACCTATAAGGAGCTTGTGACAAAACCCCCCATTTGATATCCATTTTCTCTCCAACTCATTTTCTACAACCCCTTTTATGAAATTTATCAAATTTTAAATCAAATATTTAATCCACTTTTTCCAAAATTTATTAAAACTCTGATTTATAGGTAAACCTTGGTGAAAAATTACAGATCAATTCCTAAGAAGAGTTTTGCTACACAAACATAATGATTGACATAGTGGATAACACAACACACACATGGGGAGGTCGGCATTATTTAATTCAGGTCGGGATCCACATGCAATGTGAGTGGTTTGTGTAAACATTTAATTGACTAAAATATTCTACATAGTGTGAAAATACTACTCGTAGTGAGTGTCGTGATAATGTGATCAAAGGTCATTAATTAAATGAGTGGTATTTTACCTGGCAATTCTTTTAAAGAAATATTTCACTAGAAGTCACCCAAGTTGTAGATTATTTCAATGTTAGTCTCTAAACTTTAATTATTTCAATCTGATCACCTCGCTTGTAAATTTGATTTGTATCACTCAATAGTTATTGTTTGGTCCCCTTTATTTTTAAAATATATTTTTCTCTATCTTATTTTTAATCACATATTCTTTAATAAAATAATATTATACGTAAATTCAAAATTTTTCTTTATTTTTTAATCACATATTATTCATCAAATCATTATTTCAAAATGCATTTTTGTTAAAAATGGGGCTCAAACATGCTTATATATTTTCATTTCATTTTTTTACCAATAAAATTCTAGACTTAGCTAACCAATATTCACGACCACGGAAGACTAGAACAAATATAAGTTTTTCTTTTTTTAATCACCCAAAAATTACAAGTCGAGTAACATATTCCATTGACCAAATTAACATATCTCGTTGACCAGATTACAAATTTTGTTAGTTTTTTTAATAGTTAGTTGTATATGATATGATATGATCAAATTGAAAATAAAAGAACCATGTTACATGAACATAGAGGATGACATAGGGGATGACCGAACACACACACCTCGGACGTCAGACACTATTTTATTCACGCGGGACCCACGTACCATGTGAGGGTCCGTCACCCGAGGTGTCAACAATTTTCGGGTAAAGTGACTTTACTCTTTCCCCAATTGATGGATGCTCGATCGGAAAATCATAGGATGTCGTGAATCTGTGGCTGCTATTTCCAATTTGCAGATGGCAGTTTCCAACTTGTAAATGTAGTTATGTTAGGTGACGTTTTTCATGTGCAAGTTGACCATTACAGAAAAAAGGGTTAAATACTTGGCCCATGTTTGATGGCGATTGTTTGAAAAAGATGATGTTTTGACTTTTGAATAATAATTTTTAAGCGAATGAGTGGTCAAAAAATTGGAATTTTTTTTTTTAATTTACATGTAAAATATTTTATAGTGTGAATGTTTGGTTGAAAGTGAGTATGTATCAATAAACATGGGCTTAGTCAACAATTTTTATAATGTGTCACTTTAATTATCAAATATATATATATATACATACATACTAAGTGCAAGCAACGTGTAATGCACGTTTGCCTAATTTATATTTAATAGTTTTGTTTAAGAATTAATTTGTTATTAATAAAGATGTAATTTTTTTGGTTAATTAAATAATTAATGATGTAATATTTATGTAATTGATAAATAATTAGATGTGTGATTTTGA